TATTACCTGTTTAAAGGCTATACAAGAGTTCCTGTTATACTCAGATGAGAGGGTGTGAAAAAGAGAGACAAACATGCCAACACAACTTTCCAGGGCCAGCGTGGGAGGATCTTGGAGCATCTTAGAAACAATGAAGTAAATAATGTTACAGAAAGTGAATGCAAAATCTGGGAGAGGTTTTAAAGGGCCCAGAATGGAAGTACTTTGGGGTCCTGAAGCCCTTTAGGCTCTTGTGGGCCTGTTAACTATGTGGCTTATATTTAAGCTGCTGTGTTTTTAAGTGCAGCAGTCCAGGTGGAAAGATGGGTGTGGGTTAGCAGGAGCGACCCCTACCTAATAACAGAACAAAACAGCAATTTTTAACTTAATGGAACCTGTTTATTTTGTGATAAATTCAGACAAACTGACCATCTCCTTGTGAACCTCATGGAACAGGGGCATGAATGCTGTTAATAATTAAGCTGGGATGCGAGGTGGAAACAGGTACCATCCTGGGCAAACTGGGGTAGATGGTCCTCGTATTTAGGGGACTACACCAGAAAGTGTAGGCTCTTCAGCCAAGCTGCCACGTCTCCAAGCCGAGCCCCGTCACTCGCTAGTGGGATATGATTCAGCAAATTAGGACTTTCATTGCTTCACTTTATTTATCTGAATATGAAGATAGTCAAAGCAATTGGTTCATAGAGTTACTAACATAAGTTAGTTAACATATGCATGCCCCTTAGAAAAGTGACTCGTGTATAGTAAACGCTATAGCAGCATCATTGTCTGAGTGACCCCTATCTGAGCTCTGCACCACATGCGCCCTGAACTGCAGAGGATCCTAGAAAGAGCAGTTTGAATGGCTGTGAGAAGCAGATAATGACCCTCAGGTATTAGGACACATCACCAGACTGCCTCTGAGACGGGCTGGAGCAGGAAAAGCTGTGGTAGATAACAGCAAGAGCACTGGACTTGGGAGTCCAGCATTAGCTCTGCTGGCAGAGCATGCTGGGTACCAGGTTCAGTACTGCAGGTGAAAGGCCGGAGTTTAAAACCTCAGTGTACATGTGACAAAACAGCTAGGTGGCCATGTAGCTTTGGCAAGTCACTTGTCTTTTTCTCATCTGTAAAATTAGGGTAGAGTGTCTCCCTCCTGTATCCTGGGGTTATTTAGAGGTACAAATGAGATGTTGATTCAAAAGTGCCATGTACAGTGTTAAGGAGTAGGCATTAGGCAAATGCCAGGTTTCATGAGCACATCCCTGTGAAATTAAGTGAAACAGAAGCCTTTCCTCCCTGTCCTTTCAGAACCAAACTCTTAATGCTATTCCCCAGAGCCCCAAGACCTTGTAGACCCGTAGAGTCTACACCATCTCTTCATTCTTCAGTTTCGACCCCTGTGGACTCTTTTACACAACGCCCAAGTCCCAACCCTAAAATAAATCAGAAACAGAAACTTCATTTGCTCCTTGAGCCCTTCCAGGTGGTAACTGCATTTCTATCTGTCCATTTATATAAATGGATATATGTATTAATGCAGGGGTCCCCAGCCCTCAGGCCACGACACGTATTAGTTCATGGCCCATTAGGAACTGGGCCAGACAGCAGGAGGTGAGTGTTGGCAAGTGAGCAAAGCTTCATCTGTGTTTACAGCCACTCCTCATCACTCACATTCCCACCTAAGCTCCACCCTCCTGTCAGATCAGTGCCGGCACAGGCTTCTCATAGGAGCTCGAACCCTATGGTGAACTGCACATTCGAGGGATCTGGGTGGTGCACTCCTTATGAGAATCTAATACCTGATGATCTCTTACTGTCTCCCATCACCCCCAGATGGGACAGTCTAGTTGTAGGAAAACAAGTCCAGGGCTCCCACTGATTCTACATTATGGCGAGTTGTATAATTATTTCATTGTGTATTATAATGTAATAATCACAGAAATAAAGTGCACAAAAAAAATGTGATGAGCTTGAATTATCCCAAAACCATCCTCCCCATCCTTTGGTTTGTGGAAAAATTGTTTTCCATGAAACCGGTCCCTGGTGCCAAAAAGGTCGGGGACCTCTGCATTAATGCAGGTACCTGGCATGCACAGGAAGTACTATGTGAGTGTAGCTATTTTTCTTCCCTAGGCTTCGACCTTACAATTTGGAAGTTCTAGTGGCATTTTGGATGCACTCTGTTATAGAATGTATTATGTTGTAGTGGATGTATTAGTTAACAGCTCTTCTGAATGCAGGCACTAGTAATCCAGCTCAAACTAGCATAAGCAAAAAGTGAATTATGATAAAGAAAGTGGGGTGTCTTATAAAATCAAAAACAAGCTTCTTCATTTCTCATCTCTATATCTGTAGGTTCCCTTTCCTCCCTCCCTTCCATCCACAGCGCCAAGTCTTAGCTGCTCTCTACCCTAAGCTTTATGATTTACTATGTCAACTCTTGGAAACTCTCGTGGTCTAAAGTCAAAAACTCCCAAGAAAGGGAGCCATTGGCCGGGCGCGGTGGCTCAAGCCTGTAATCCCAGCACTTTGGGAGGCCGAGGCGGGTGGATCACAAGGTCAAGAGATCGAGACCATCCTGGTCAACATGGTGAAACCCCGTCTCTACTAAAAATACAAAAAATTAGCTGGGCATGGTTGTGCGTGCCTGTAATCCCAGCTACTCAGGAGGCTGAGGCAGGAGAATTGCCTGAACCCAGGAGGCGGAGGTTGCGGTGAGCCGAGATCGCGCCATTGCACTCCAGCCTGGGTAACAAGAGCGAAACTCTGTCTCAAAAAAAAGAAAAGAAAAGAAAAGAAAGGAAGCCATTGATTCAGTGTGAGAAGCAGCCCACCCTGAACCAGCCTGCTGTGACTGGGGTTAGTGGTGATAATGTAGTGGTGTCACGTGGCACAAAGCCCTGCACCTGTAAGTGTGGAAGTGAAGGTGCAGTTCCTCGAAAGGGGGACGATTTGGAGGTAAAAGTGCATTTCCAGTAGAGCGTGATGCTTGATGTACGTGTGCATCTCCACGTGTAAATGAGACCTTCCACGCCAGAAGGGCGGAGACTGAGGCTGTCCCAGAGGTGTGCCTGCCCCAGAGCCTTGCAAGAGCCAATAGCACAAGATAGTTAAAATGATCTGAGAGCAGATAATAACCTGAGCCTCCCCCTTACAAGGAAACCACCAGCCAACATCTAACATAAAGTCCTTTAACTACTCATATAAAAATACTCATTGTATGGTCTTTTAAAACCCCATACTTTTTTTCCTGATTTTTCTAGGTTGTTCTCGGATTGCCAGTTCCATGCTATCTAACTACAATGCCAACTCTTGTTTAAAGATGGTTCTCTATAATGGTATGAGGGTGGGGAGAGCCTTCAGCTAGTCACCACTACACAAACCTGGGGCCAGCTTCCTGGCTATAAGAACAGTTACTAGGCCTGGGGACCACTGGTAGTTTGGGAAGTGGCAGAACTTTCCCAATGCCCTTATGCTTGAGGAACACTGACTAGGCGGGTGCCCTCTAGAAGGCCCGGAGTCTTCCCAAGAACGTAAGTAAAGGCAGTCACGCATGGGAGACAAACTTGGCTTCCTTCTTCCCCACTTAGTCCTCCCAAAGCCTGGGCAGAGGGAGCGATGTGATGTGCAGGGAGAGTGGAGCGGTTCGGGAGGGATCCGCGGCTGTCAGAGGTCTGCATGTGTCCTTCCGTGTCACAGGCAGGAGCAGAGCTGGCATGTGAGAGGTCTTCAGGCACAGCTAAGCTCACAGGAGCTGGCCTCTGCCTGCCTCACGGTGCGAACGGCACTGGGAGGGCAGAGGGGACACTGCCGTAACCCAAGAGCCCTGCCCAGGGCAAGGCTGGACACAAAAGGATTTTGGCTCCCACCAGTGGGCGGGGAGCTGAAAATGCTTCTCTTCAGTTTACCAAGGAGGCTGCTCTATCTCTAATGTCTATTCCAACTCTAGTGACTCAAATCAATCCTTACTTCTCTGCCCTTATTGGAAAGAAAGGGGGTTAAGGAGTATGGTGGAAGGAGAGGGACAAGCCTTGGCTTTGGGGACTGCTTACCAGGAGACCAACCTCCTGCCCTGTTCTCGTGGAAATACCTGTCCACTGTAGACAAGAGAAGGCATGATGCTTTCCTAAGCGTATTCCCAGGAATAACTGCAGACTAAAACTTTTACCTGAGGGAAAGTACAATAAATATGTTGGCATACACTTGCATAATGCCAGCTACCTTGATAGGAAATTCAGTGTTTCTGAGCCATTTTTGCCAGGTGAGGCAGAAAGTAGGCCAGAGATTGTTATAACAAAGGAGACCTGGCTGCAGGAAGCCTGCTAAGCACCTGCAGAGACAGGACTTCCTGTGAGGGGCAGGGGGAGGGTGGAAGCCAACCGAGGCTTCCTACCTTTTGACATCTACAAAGTTGGCATACATTGTAAGAACGCAGAGGAAACACGCTGCATGGGCTGTCAGCTCTGGAAACACTGTGGCCTTGGACTCCACTTGGCCTGTGCTGGGCTTGGAGTTAGCCTTACGTCGGCTTCTCCTCTGCTGGTTGCTGTTTAATGACCTCTTTGTTTATAACCAGGCTTTCTGCTGATGCCAAGGAGAAAAAATGCAGGCATATATTGGAGCTTAGCATTTGGGGTTCTATGGAAAACACACACACAGCGGCGAAGAAGTACTGTGATGATAGCCCTTCGCGTTATTTTGAGGGACGGTAGTGGGGGAGGAGTGTGACCCTGTAGTGAGCTATTCCGCAGGGAGTACAGCTGCCGTTGGCAAGTGAGCTTAATAAAAATGATGTTTGGTTCATCTCGAAATTGCCTTCAGAATAAAGCAGTCTGATTTTGCACTGCTAGAATGAAGAGCCCTGACACTAAAACATTTCTGTTCCATTTGTCAGCATTACTTACCATGGATTATACTTAAACAGCACTGCCCTAAAGAACCCCCATCTAAACTCTTCTGCTTTTTAGCTATGATAATTTTATGGGCCACACTGGGGAGATGTCTTAAAATGCAGAATATAATAGCAACCTATTTAGTTATTTATTAATGTTCCTTCACCATTTAGTTATTTATTAACCTGCATTCATTAACTCATTCTTTCTAATACAGTAGAACTCCAAGAACATCCTCTCCTTTGCTGTTGTTAGGACCAGGAGCAAAATCATGAAGTCATTTCTGTTACTAACTTTGTGTGCAGTCAACTCAGCTCCAGGCCGTAAAAATGAATAGTAGGTGCCCTTTGGGGACAGCGCCTGGCTGTCAAGCCAGATGCTTAAAGGGACAGTTGCCAAAGACCCTGTAACTTACAATGCTGCAGCTTTGCTGATTTATAGAAACTGGTTTCTAAAAAGCTTTCAGTAATTTTGTACTCCAGCCCCTTCCTGCTCTGTTTAATTTAAGATGCTTATTTCTGATGCTGCTTCTTGTACCTTCTCCAGCAGATCGGCTGTTACTTTTCATCTCATGCCCCATTGGTGGAACTCTTGAACTTTTTTTCTGAATAGCCCATCTGTTTATTTCACATGATTGTGACTTCTGAAGGTCTCATCTTTGCCGCTATGGTTAGGCCAAAGGTCCCCAAGAATGAACAAATAAGACAGTAGTACTGTATGCCAGCATCCAGGCAAAACAGGAATATCTCTGGGCAGTCATAAGCTTCTGCTCAGTTTTAAATCTTGATGGGAAAACATTCAGAAGTAATAGGGAAATTGGACATATTTGCCCCAAGGTAAGGCTGAAAGCTGTGCTGCAGTCGTCCAGTTGATGTCTGGGTTCCCTGCCAATGTCCCTTGGGTGGTTTGGCACTGCCTCCTCACTCCCAGCAGCAGATCTTTTGCCTGCGGTGGGTGTGTCAGGCTGAAATTCCGTCTGGTGCTTGCTCTGCTGTCCTTCCGCAGTACTGGAGGTGTGGTGGGCTGTACTGCAGCTTCCCCGAGTCATTTCCCAGACCACAGCAGTGGCTTCTCCTAATGCCTTCCAGTTGTCCTGACAGGAATAGAGGAATTTTATCAAATCGAAGTTTGTGAGTAGGTTTTTGAGCTACTCAGTTTGCCTGAAATTTAGACATAGAGCTTAATGATCAAAGTTTGGACGGCACATAACTACTTTTTTACTGTTTGTTACTTTGAACTCCCAGGAGCAGACAGGTTCAAGTGCTTCGTAGGACCCCAGAGTTCAGCTTGCACCCACCTTGCACATACTGGAATTGAAACAAGAGCAACCTAGTGACTCATAAATACTGCAGTTTGGGGGTATAACAATACAGCAGTGACCTTTACTGCGATACCAGGAACCAGACAGGTAGAAAAAACACATGTGTTTATTTAATAAATATTAGGTTGGTGCAAAAGTAATCACAGTTTTTGCCTTTGAAAGTAAAATTATTTTTTTACTTGAAATTATTTTTACTTTGAAAGTAATGTCAAAAACTGCAATTATTTTTGCACTAACCTATATATAGCCTTATTCTACAAAGAGAATATATTTCTTTAAATAAATGGATTTTTAAAAACTTTGGTAGCGATTGAGCATATATAATAAATACCACATCATTATTGATGTTACATAAAAGAAAAATAAAGAGATGGAGAAAATCAGCTTGCTATATTTATTTGCCCTGGGAAATAACATCTTTATCTACTATTTCTAGCATCTGAGTTCCAGGTCACTTGTAATTAATTTTTCTCTGTATTATGCAATGTATTTTCCTGCTTTTCATGCCTCATACTTTTTTACTGGATGCTAGACATTGTACATTTTACCTTGTTGGGCACTGAATATTTTAGTCCCAGAAATATTTTTGAGCTTTGTCCTGGGATGCAGTAGATCCTTTCAGGTCCTGCTGTATAGATGTGTCAGGTGGCAGTGCCCATCTAGGGTTTCTCATTTGTGTTTCCTACCTAGTGCCCAGAGGTTTTCCAGCTTGGCTGATAGGAACAGGCCCTACCCTAGATCCTGTGTCAGCACCAGGCACTGTTCCTTCTAATCCTCCGACATGGCTCTTTCTCTGGCCTGGGGTGGATCCTTACACACATGAGCTGATCGGTGGGTGCTCTGCTGCCTAGTTGAGGGAGCTCCCTCTGGCCCGATTTCTCTCTGTGTGCCCCTCTCCAGTATGGTCACCTGCCAGTTCTGGCCACCTTAGTCTCCCTGGATCCCTGGCATTGTTTTCCTACTGCAGGGAGGCTGGCAGGCTCCACCTGGGTTCCCCCCCGCATGCGCACTACAGCCGGGACCCTCCTTGAAGCATGAGCTGGACAATCACAGGGCTCTCCTCCTGAGTTTGCTCTCTCAGGAATCACTGTCTTTGGTGTCTTGCAAACCGTTGTTTCACACATTTTGTCCATTGTTTGCTTGTTTCATGCAGGAAGGAAAATCCAGTACCTGCTTCTCCATCTTGGACATATGAGACTCTTAAATTATTCTTTTTTCCTTTTCTAGCACCAGAAAGTTTGATGCAGGCATTGGAAGACTTAGATTATCTGGCAGCACTAGATAATGATGGAAATCTGTCTGAATTTGGAATCATCATGTCAGAGTTTCCTCTTGATCCACAACTCTCCAAGTCTATCTTAGCATCCTGTGAATTTGACTGTGTAGATGAAGTGCTAACAATTGCTGCCATGGTAACAGGTACACCTAATGACTATTCCTTTTCTTTTTTTGCAGATCTGCACCAGGTATAGATTTAAATGGGATCCATTTGAAATGATATTTTAAGGAGCATATATCACAGATGGTGATCAAGTCATTCAACCTTTTGAAATGATAGCGAGGTATTTAATAGGTTAGAAAAGGAAAATTTTCTTAATATGAAAAATTATCTTAATATAAGAAAACTAACTCAAAGTGCAACAAATTTATACATCAGATATATGAAAACACACTAGGTTTCTTTGCTGAAGTCGTCAGTGCAGATGAAGAAAATGGATCACTAGAGGTGTTTTCCCCCAAACAATGATGTGTGCTTGTTTTTTATTTCCTATTGACTTCATTCATCCTGGCTTGTATGTTTTAATTTATTCTAATACCGGCAGAACAGACCAACCATTGTGCTGTATCAGAGCTGGTTCTTGTGCTTGGACCTCTGAGTACCTCAGGTTTTCCCTGCTCCCGGTGGAATATAAGCAGGGTATTAACATATTCAGTTGACCTTAGAAAAGCAAACACACAACACACACACACACACACACACACGAAGAAGAATTAGGATGACTCACTAAATTTCCCGGATTTCTAAGTAAACAAGAATAGCACATTTATTCAGAGAACCAAGACAGAAGCAGTTCCACCAACAGTCATGACCCCATGTTACGGTAAGATGAAATGTCTTCATTATTGCTAACTGTGACCTTTTGCATTTTAAAGCTCCAAATTGCTTTTCACATGTGCCACATGGAGCTGAAGAGTCTGCCTTGACTTGTTGGAAGTCATTTTTACACCCTGAAGGAGATCACTTTACCCTCATCAACATTTACAAGGCCTACCAGGACACAACTCTGAATTCTACCAGTGAATGTAAGTGAATGCTCAGAAATTACCTTCTAATTCCACCTTCCTTTCCCCAGAGAAGTCTGAGTCCTTATTAGTAATTCATCAAACAGTCTTCTTCTCTAGCCCCGTTGCCACTTGAATGCAATGGCACTTGAGGCCCTAAACACACTGACAGCCATCTGCAGAGTGGGAGACGCTCCTTCCTCCTGCTCCCACAAAGCTCTGTACTTCCAGAGTTCCAGCACTGCACTCAGCCAGCCTTCAGAGCAAGCTTGGGACACAGTGATGGGGGACAGAGACTCATAGATCGGTGTGCAGAGGAAGACAAGGAACAGCCACCGCTACATAAGCCACTGAGTCAGAGCTGTGCTGTGCACCCTCTGTATCCTGGCACATTCACCATGCACGTGCAGAGAGGCCACAGAGCTCCAGATACTCAGGCAGAATAGGCTGGGGAGCTAAGGGGAAGCTGCAGAGCTGCTGACGAAGCCTGGAAGGGACAGCAGAGGGTATCCAGAGAACAGAATGGTGTGTGTCAAAGCACAGCCACAAAGTCCTGTGTAAGCCTGAACGACAGTGTGGGGATTACCTGTCACAGAAAGGTACTCAGAAGTGAACCGGAAGCTCCTATGCAAACAGACACAAGAGGAGGGCAAACAGCATAGCAGTGTGGCGGGGGCTGGAGCCAGCCTCAAAGGGCAGCCAGGAAGGAGATCCCTCCCTCCAAGGATTTTCCTTACCTTTGTTTTCCATGATGCATCTTTTACCTCCTTTGCTCTGAAAGATGGTGTGAAAATATGTGAGGTAGTATGAAAAAATATGGCAGCAATTTGAAAGACCATAGAATTGTATAAAGAACAAGGAGTTAATGAGTCAGAGCTGAGAAGAAAAAGTTGTCCGTGGAGCCAGAAAGTACACGGGAATTTGATGGCATCTTTTGAGGGCATGCTGAATGGGCGACACTCTGTGACTAAGTACATGCTCTGGTTGCTCCGAGCAGCCTGAGTGGACAGGACAAGGTAAACGAGGGTCTTCTGTCCACAGCGCCATGGCCACGTGCATTCCCAGATCCATCTTAAATAATTACAGGTGACAAGAAAGACTAACCTCAAACTCACCCAGATGCCTGAATTTTAATATAAAAGTTACAGCTAGGGTAGATAGATGAGCTTAACTGTAACATAATTAATTCCCAAGTCAACCCGGTCGTAATCCTTTTCTTATCATTAAATAAAATAAGAGATATTTTCATAGACCAAAGGAATTTATACTGTGGGATTTTTTCTGCCTAGTTTGATTAAATGGGGCCACATACATCCTTGCTGTAGGCATAGAGACAAAATACAGATCTTAACAAAATCCTGTCTGGCCTTTACGAGCCACAGGTTAGTTAAATACATCTTCAGTCACCACTAGGAAGTTTCCACAGTTGGCTGGGATCATAGAACCCCAGCGAGTGGCATGGGTGCTGTGAGTGGCACCGTCTCCCTTCCTGGTAGTGCCCTGACAGCTGACCTCACAGGCACCAGAAATCCTTGTCCTTGCTGCCTTCCTGCCACTCACCTATGTGGCCTCCTTTGTAGGAAAGGAGAGTGTAGGGCTTAAAGATGGTAACTGGCCTGGGCTCTTCAGAGCTTCTGACAAATCATTTCTAAATGGCCTTCTGTTCTTTTCCTCCTAGACTGTGTTGAAAAGTGGTGTCATGATTACTTCCTCAACTGTTCAGCACTCAGAATGGCAGATGTTATCCGAGCTGAACTCTTAGAAATTATCAAGCGAATCGAGCTTCCCTATGCAGAACCTGCTTTTGGCTCCAAGGAAAACACTGTAAACATAAAGAAAGCTCTTCTCTCCGGTTACTTTATGCAGGTGAGAAGGCACGGGGTCGCCTTGACATAGGCTTCCCCGCAGTGCACATACTTAGAACCTGCTGCCAACAGTCGCTCACTTAGGATGATGATTTTGACACTAACTTTAAAACTGAAAATCCATGTTTATAGTAAAGATTTGGCACTTAAATACCCTTCCTCAAGGGAATAAAGGTCCAAGGCAGAATATGTAGTCTTAATGGAGAAAAATGACATTTCAGTATGCATTTCCTCGTCTGTCAAGTTCCTACATCACAGGGTTATTGTGTGCTTAACAGCAAGTGTAAAGCGCTTGGCATCGGAGTGTGTCACCCGTAGTATGGCAGGTCATGTGCTAAGTTTCATCTCCTGGCCAAAACATTAACCTCAGAGCTGCATTATTTTAGCACAGTACTCTGCTGTTGCTGAAGTTAGTTAATATCAGTGTCTCAAAGTTTTAGGCAAAACATGCTTATGGCTTATTTTCTACATATAAAAATAGGAAACATGAGTGGCAAATTTTAGTTTTAACTATCCCGTATGAAATACTTTGGTATTTTTTTCAACAAACATTTTTTTGTGTATTGATCTCCTTATTAAATCAAAATCTTTCTTCTTTAAAACTCTGCCTTTCAGATTGCTCGGGACGTTGATGGATCAGGTAACTACTTAATGCTGACACATAAGCAGGTTGCTCAGCTGCATCCCCTGTCTGGTTACTCAATCACCAGGAAGATGCCAGAGTGGGTCCTCTTCCATAAATTCAGCATTTCTGAGAACAACTACGTCCGGATTACCTCAGAAATCTCTCCCGAACTGTAAGTTTCATGGAGAAAAAAGGGTTGTATTTTTTTTTTAATTTGTACCTGTAGGAGTAAATGACAAATTTGGCTTTTATTCTATTTTTAGTTGTAAAGTTTATACTGGTGCCAATCTTAATTTATGTTGAGAGTACCTACTAAGGGCAGGCCTCTGTGGATGATACCTAGGAAATGTCCCTGCCTATGAGATGACAGCATAGAAAAGACAGTGTCGAAATAAACACAAAGACCGTGTGTCTTTAAGAGTCTTTAAGAGGAATTGAATGCTAGAGAAACCGTGCAGGTTTGCAGGTGCACAGACCTTGAGAGGAATGAGCATGGCCATCTTTCAAGAGCCACTGCAGTTGGAGCTGTCAGGGAAGAGGAAGGAGGAGAGGTTGAAGAGGCAGGCACCAGAGGGTGGGCTTTGTGGGCCACATAGTTTAGATTTTATCCAAGTGCAGTACGCAGCAATTGGAGCATTTTAAGCAAGAGTAGCAGCTTCTCTGGATAGTTTTAAGGATCACTGTAGCTGGCCAGGCACAGTGGCTCGCACCTGTAATCCCAACACTTTGGGAGGCCAGGCAGGAGGATGGCTTGAGCTTAAGAGTTCAAGACCAGCCCTGGCAACATGGCAAGACTCTGTCTCTACAAAATAAAAAATAATAATAATAATAGCTGGTGTGGTGGCACGCGCCTGTAGTCCAAGCTACTTGGGAGACTGCAGTGAAGGATCGTTTGAGCCCGGGAGGTCAAGGTTGCGGTGAGCTAGCTATGGTTACACCACTGCACACCAGTCTGGGAGACAGAGCAAGACCATGTCTAAAAATAAAAAATAAAAAAATAACTGGTTTCTACATGAATGGAAAAGGAGGGACAGTGGCAAGAGTGAGACTACTCCGCTAGTCTTTCAGAGGCCACAGCAGAGTCTGGATCCATTTTGAAGGTACCACTCCAGCAAGTAGTGTTCAAGGCAGCAACTGAGAGTTGACTCGTAGGTGTCTGGCTTACACAGCTGGATGTGGAGTGGCACTAAGATGACAAAGAAGCAAAGATTCCCCCTCTGTTCCCTACCCAAAGCTCTTCCAAGCATAACATCAGTGCCTCTCACATGGTGATGGGCCTCAGGGGAATTATTAGTTTCCATCAAAGGTTAGTGGTAGACAGCACTTCCACTGTGTGGCATCCACTAAAGTAGCCAACTTATTCTAGAAATGCAAGAGGATTGGCTGCAGGAAAACCAGAAAGTATTTGTTTTACAAAGTCAGATTGAGATACTGAGGAGTTCAAATTAAATACCGGTTCTACTGGTAGATTCTCCAGGGAATGGGAGGTGCCCAGACATAGCGTTTGGTGTCTCTCACCATCTTCCCCACTCAAAATCTAATCTTTTTGTTTTAAACAGATTTATGCAGTTGGTACCACAATACTATTTCAGTAATCTGCCTCCTAGTGAAAGTAAGGATATTCTACAGCAAGTAATGGATCCCCTATCCCCTATTTCAACAATGAATAAGGAACAGAAAATGTGTGAGAAGTGCCCTGAAACTGCTGAACAGAGATGTGCTCTCCAGTGACTCCCCACCAAACACAAGGTGCAATAGTGTCCCAAAGTTAGCTGGATGGCTGAACTCCGGAGTGATGTGCAGATATGTTACATGAAGATGGATTTCCCACCCACAGGATAGTCTTGAAAAAACACTTTGTATATTATTTTAAAATAAAAAATAGAAGTTTTTATTGAGTTCTTTAAATTACATGTTTTTCTTCTTCTTGGAAAAGTTTTTAAATCAACCATTCATAATTTGACCAAAATTTAAAAAACTGGTATTTTGTAAATGTGTCACAGACACACAGGACAGAACCCTACTTTTTGTAGAGGACCTTACTCCGAATAAAGTTATGAGTTTTTCAGTAATTCTCCGCTGAGTTTTCTGGTAATTTTACAAAAGCAAGCCCATCACTGTCCATTGGAAATGGGTTAGACAGATAGATATTCTTTCAGTTTATCCATGATTTCGTTCATCTTGTCACCTGGAATTAACATCACAGTTCGCAAAGGCTTCATTGGTACGTCATCAAAAGACCATCTGCCACCCAGACAGGTGTCGCTCTCCTCCTGCACTGAGTAGCTGAACTTCAGAATTGCCTTCTAAACCAAGTAAGTAACCATGAATTAAAAATCTGGACAACGCGAAGACAAAACCCATTTAATCTACGACAAAGAATATTACATTTGGCATATAGTTAAATAAGAATGAGAGCTAAAAAACTCAGAATAAAACAAGTTCAAATGGGACATTCAGGTGGAAGTTACAAAATACAAACCAAGTAGATTTTTAACCCACATGAGGAACAGGAATACAGGTGTGCAATTTCTAAGAGGTGAACAAGCAACTAAGTGCTGTTTTCATTTAATTGTCCAGTATCTTGTGATAAGTGAAATTAAGACTCATAACATTTGGTATTTAACAAGAACTGGTCTTAACACTGTCTTTTCTCACTTTCTCAGCTGCTTCCTTAGCATCAGGCTTCTGTGTGAAAACAGAGTAAATCTGCATACCTCGCCATCTTAAAACACCCATACATACTCACCCTAAATGGTCTATGTACTGAAGCATATGTTTTATAAAAATTGTGTTTACCATTTCCTTCCTGGAAAAAAAGGGCATAGCTGAATTGGTAGTACTTTTAGTCTTCTGTAGAAGTCTTAAAAGTGGTATCACCCAATTCAGGAAAACATGTTCCCCTCAGAGATACACTTCAAGATTTTTTTTTTTGCGTGGGGTGAGTGGGGCAGACAGAGTTTTGCCCTTGTTGCCCAGGCTGGAGGGCTGTGGCATGATCTCGGCTCACTGCAGCTTCCATTTCCCAGGTAGAAGCAATTCTCCTGCCTCAGCCTCCCAAGTAGCTGGGATCACAGGCGTCTGCCACCATGCCCAGCTAATTTTTTTTTGTATTTTTAGTAGAGACGGGGTTTCTACATGTTGGCCAGTCCGATCTCGAACTCCTGGCCTCGGGGCCAACTCCACCCACCTCAGCTTCCTAAGGTGCTGGGATTACAGGCATGAGCCACCGCACCTGGCCCACTTCAAGATTTTTGAGAGGCGGACTGTGAGAAAATATTCTCTGGTATATGGCTGTCCATCACATACATTATGTGCATGTGGAGAAAAAAATGCTGGAGAAATCCCACCAGTGGGATGACATCCACGACTAAGGGCAAAGAGTAGCAGGGGTGCCCCAGCTTCCACAATGACCGGCTGTGTGAGCTCAGGTAATTTCCCTCATCTCCCTCTGACTGTAAACCCCAAGCTAATGTCTACCTCTCCGCATGGTTTTAGAATGAAACATTTCACAGGAAGCATATTACAAATACCTAATCATTCTTAGCAGGTTAGTAACTTTTCTCCTCCTCCTCACACTTATAACCACAGTGCAGGTGGGGAGGCTGGTGCCTAGCCTCTTGAGTACCTACTATGTGCCTGGCACGATGTTAGCTGCTAGCTCTTGCGGAGAAATAGAAAAAACAGTGGACAAACTTGAAAGACTTGGACATAAGCTGGGAGAACAAGAAATCTTGATAAATCATTTTCAAGAAATCTTTCTTTACATCTAAATAAATAAACAGGATAGTCTTACCTCATAGAAAAATTCTTCCTCTGCATTTGCAAACATTAACTCATCTTTCTTTTGGTTGCTCCATTTCTTTTTGGAATTGTTTTTTCCTGCTTCCACAAATGTCTTACTAATCAGAAGGTAAAAGCAGCACTTCCCACATGGCTTATTGGTTTTGTGTGCCTCCACTACTTCTTTCCTACAAGGCATACAGAGACAAAATCTCAGTCTGTTTCCCAGGCTGTAGAGTATAATGGCGCAATCTCGGCTCACTGCAACCTCTGCCTCCCAGGTTCAAACGAATTTTCGTGCCTCAGCCTCCCAAGTAGCTGAAATTACAGGCCGGCACCACCAGCTATTTTTTTTTTTTTTTTTTTTTTTTTTGTATTTTTTAGAACTGGGGCTTTCGCCATGTTGGCCAACCTGGTCTCAAACTCTCAGCCTCAGGCAATCTGCCAGCCGCAGCCTCCCAAAGTGTTGGAATTACAGGTATGAGCCACCACACCTGGCCTACCCAACACCCTTTTTTTTTTTTTTTTTTTTTAAAGACACAGGGTCTTGTAATGTTGCCCGGGCTGGAGTGCAGTCGGTATTCACAGGTACAGTCATCACATACTGCAGCTTGGAACTCCTGGCCTCAGGCATTCCTCCTGAGTAGCTGGGACTACAGGTATGTGCTACTGTGGTTGGCTCCCCAGTGGTGCGATCGCGGCTCACTGCATCCTCTGCCTCCCAGCTTCAAACGATTCTCCCTGCCTCAGCCTCCTGAGTAGCTGGGATTACAGGAACCCACCACCACGCCTGGTTAATTTTTGTATTTTTTTAGTAGAGACAGGGTTTCACCATGTTGGCCAGGCTGGTCTCGAACTCCTGACCTCAGTTGATCCACCAGCCTTAGCATCCCAAAGTGCTGGGATTTAGAAGTGTGAGCCAGTACGCCTCACTTCAACTTTCTTTTAACAGGACTAGGAGAAAGCAAATCACCCTCCTATAAAACCAAATAAATGTGAGCTTCAGCTGATCAGGAAAAAAAGAAAAAAACCACTTAAGGCACCAGAAGCACAATCTGACCTGCAGCTAACAGAACAGGGAGCAGGAGGTAAAAAGCACTGAATCCCTAGGAAAAACAGCAAACCTACAGGTTTCCAGAGTAGAGTTGTATTCCTACAGCTATTTAAAGGGAAACCAGAACACAAGTGCTATAACCTCTGAGAAAGAATGTTCTATAAAGAACGTGTTGGACCGGGTGTGGTGGCTCACGCCTATAATACCAGCACTTTGGGAGGCCAAGGCAGGTGGATCACAAGGTCAGGAGTTTGAGACCAGCCTGGCCAATGTAGTGAAATCCCATCTCTACGAAAAATACAAAAAATTAGCTGAGCACAGTGGTGGGTGCCTGTAATCCTAGCTACTCGGGAAGCTGAAGCAGGAGAAATGCCTGAACCTGGAAGGTGGAGATTGCAGTGAGCCGAGACTGCGTCATCACATTCGAGCCCAGGCGACAGAGCAAGATTCCATCTCCAAAAAAAAAAAAAAAAAAAAAAAAGGAACCTGTCTAGGCCAAGTGCTGTGACTGACACCTGTAACCCCAACACTGGGGGGCCAAGGCAGGAAGATCACTTTAGCCTAGGAGTTCAAGACCAGCCTGGGCAACATGGCAAGACCCTGTCTCTACCTGTGCCCTCCTTTGCAAAGCACAGGCAATACAATTCTTAGTACACTCAGTTTGCTAGATTTCACAGCTACATTTGAAATATTTTTGTAATCCTAAAACTCCTGTATTAAAAAAACAGAACGACAAAAACCTTGAAAAGCTAGACACGGTATCAGGACTATGTTTCCTTAGTTACGAAACACACCAATAGAATTTGGGAATTTTACCAGTTTTGTTATTGCTGTAATTGTTCAGCATTTTATTTGTGTTGCAGAAAGCTATCTGTGAAGGTGATAAACTTCAATCAAATGGGGATGAAAAGTCTACATGAAACTATCTACTTATATACCACTTAAATCTTAAGTTTAAAGATTATTAAGATTATTGACACAAACTCTTCAAAAAGCCAGTTGTTAATAATGTATGCACTTCACAGGACGCTTCTTCCACTTCTCTCACACTAAACCCACTTAACCCAAGGACAGAACTCTTTCTGTATCTACATATTCTACTTAAATGACATTTCTGAATCTACTTGGAAAAAAAATACTATTCGAAGACATTTTCCCAAGTCTCTTACTGAAGCTGCTGGTACATGGGCAGAGCGATCTGTGGAGGGACGTTAATGAATCTTTCACTTAGGAGAAGGCCCACAGGCTTGGTGGTGTCATTTAAAAGCTTGTCCAGCTGTTCAACCATGTTCTTTTCACAGTTCTTCTCACAGAAGCTTAGAATCAACTCTTTAATTTGTTCAGCACATTGGGTACCCTAGAAAGCAAAGAGAAAGCTTGTTTTCTATTAAAACCGATCACTTACAGGAGAAAACCTGAAAGTGAGAGCTATCACTTTTTATCTTACAGCTAAGGACAGTTTGTTGCCATAGCCTTTAACATCTTGTATATCTTCAGTGTTGATTGCTTAAGTATTTCTCAAAAGCAAACACACTGGTTACTTACTATCCCATGATCAGTAGTAAGAAAGTCATAAATAACATTCAGACACACTGGAATAGCAACTCTAGACCACCTCATAAAGATAGGTGGAAGTAACTGGAAAGTTCATTTCAAAATTAAAGATTAAGTGTAGCCTGCATCTTATTCCGAGGAGGGTAAGCAACTGATTTACTTTTTATTACAACTCATTAGTCAATAAAAACAGATGAATCAAAACAAAATAAAATGTCAGTAAGTGCCCTCAATTTTGAAGCAGCAAAGCCTCAGAATTTCCCCACCACACAAGTAGTAAAGATAACAGCCGCAGAGACACAGCACCAACAGCTCCTGCATCAGTACCAACATCAGGACTGCCAAACCAGATGATTCCCTAAACCACAGGCAGTAAACTTTTAACTGGGTACAGATTATTCAAAACACCATCACCTTCATATTGAAAAAGGATTATAATAACAGCACTTATCCCTATCGTTAATATCATCTGACATAAAAGATATTTCCACCATGCATTAAATAAAAGTGGTTTAGGCCTAAGAAATAACCATTGAGATGCCACCCAGTGAAACCAACCTTTCTTTCAGTTAAATTCAAAAGGCTTATGAAACCAAAAATCTCATCTTCATCCACATCGTCATCACTGTCTTCTGAAACATCCGTTTGCTATTTAAAAAAAAAAAAAATTAAATTTTATATTTAGTTGAGTATAATACCAAGTCTTGGGATGTAGGCCTCATTTATCTTTTCACTTTTCTTTTTTTCTTTTGAGACGGAGTTTCGCTCTTGTTACCCAGGCTGGAGTGCAATGGCGCGATCTCAGCTCACCGCAACCTCCACCTCCTGGGTTCAGGCAATTCTCCTGCCTCAGCCTCCTGAGTAGCTGAGACTACAGGCACGTGCCACCATGCCCAGCTAATTTTTTGTATTTTTAGTAGAGACAGGGTTTCACCATGTTGACCAGTATAGTCTCGATCTCTTGACCTTGTGATCCACCCGCCTTGGCCTCCCAAAGTGCTGGGATTACAGGCTTGAGCCACCGCGCCCGGCCTATCTTTTCATTTTCAAAAGCAAAAGTCTGTTTTACCGCCATCATTTTAGAAAGCATTATATTTTAAACACTGTCACAGTTTTACCACTATCATCTTGGAAAGCATTGTATCTTAAATACTGTATGACCTTGTTCATTTCACTTTACCTCCCTTGACTCTGTTCCTCTTTTTAGATTCTGGAAAGACTGAAATTTCTTCGTGATTCTTAAGTCATTTTCTTTTACCAGATTCTCAATATAAAATGAATCCACAAGAGATAAAACCTCAGAAATAACGCATTTAAATTTGTTTTCTAAACAATTTGGCTGGTGCCAAGCCTTTCTTCTCTGCTGGCCCACAGGCATTGTTTCACCTAAAAATCAGGTGTTTCGAGAGCACTTGTCAGTCTTGACCATTAGAGAAGCTGGGTAATGCTCGTGGGCCACTTACACCTCACACGGGAAAGATGAGACTAGAAAAAAGAGAAACCTGCCCTTTGCTCTAGGATCCTAGAGACTGACTCCCCTGAATGCTATGGGTAGTCCCTTTACTAAGAACAAGAAGTCTCTATCCTCGGGACAACTCAAGCAACTCTGGAGAAGCCAAAGAAGCCACAATTACAGCTGCAGAGCTACTGATGGTTATCCATTTAAAGGGTGAATACTGCCATTAGACAATAACCTCTTTCAAGGATAAAAATAACTGCGTCTCCTCCATATCCATCAGGTCTTCTAAGACACTAATTAGCTAGAGATCACATTTGTTTGATGAAAGAGCAGGTGGTCTGCTTTTTCCCACTGTCCTAATAAAGGGAAGTCCCAATAGGTTTAATTTCTCATTTACATTGAGTGTGATAAGGTTACTAATGTTGTCAAAAGGCCTGAAAAGTGTCCACTGTATTTAGTAATCAGTATGTTGGTGATGCTATCATTCAATGTCAGAATTTTTGTGGTGTAAAAGTCAGATAAGAGTGTCTGAAGAATGAGAGGACAGGAAGTAGAAACCATGAATAAGATTACTTTTCAAGAATTTTGGCTCTGAAGGTAATGTAGTTAGAGTGGAACATCTGACTGAATGGAGCTTTTGTTGTGTTTTTCACAACAGGCTAGGACACAGGTGCTGGAAACAGGAAAAAGACGCCAACAGTGACAGCTGCGCATGTGTAGCACTTGTCAGTTGCCAGATACGGTTCTAATCAGTCAGCAACTCTTTTTGTTCACTTATGCACTCTACAAGGTAGATGCTAGTATCATCCTCATTTTCAGAGGTGGAAATGGAAATTAATTCAGGTACTGTGGCAGGTTGTATCTTTCAGACCGCCCCAGTGGATCTCTCCTTGGACATGCTCTTCTGATAAAGTGACCTAGACACCTTTCTCATGGAGTGGTGGGGTCAATGTGCCCTCCCCTAGGTAGAAATTTGTACCTGTACTGACGAATCAAATGGTGGAAATGGCACTATTTAATCACTTCTGCCTGGTTCTTTTGGGCTGCTTGCTCATGGAACCAAACCAATGTGTAGCGAGGCTCACATGGAGAGGAACTGAGGCCCCTGGTCCAGAGTCCCAGCTAAGCTCCCGACAGATAGCTAGGGCTAACTTGCCAGTCAGGTGAACGAGCATTCTTGAAAGGGAATCCTCCAGCCCCCAGTCAAGCCTCTCCAGCTAACATGATAATGGAGATAGGTTGTGCCCACTAAGCTTTGTCCAAACTGCAGATCCATGAGCCAAATAAATGACTGCTGCTATTTTATGGCACTAAGCTATGGGGTGGTTTGTTATGCAAACACATAACCCAAAGAACCATCAGATGATAGGCAGCAGAGCCAGGGTCCAACCTAGTCCTTATTTTGTTGAGCTCTCTACAACATCTATCTGATAAGGATGATAATCCCCACCTCCTTTAAATGTTCTCTTTCTTGCTGTGTATGACATCGCTGCACTGTTGTGTCTTCTACTTCTCCAGCCATCCTTTTTAATCTCTTTTGCTGGCTCTGCCACTTACGTTACTCATCCAAGTATTCTTGGTATTACTAAGGTATCTGTCCCTTCCCTCCCTGTGCAATCCCAATCACTTCTATGATTCATTAACATTTGCTACAAACTCCCAAGTCTCCAGGGCTCCACCTGCTACCCAGTATCTCACAGGTAATTCAGACTCAAAATGTACAAATCCAAACTCACGTTCCCCCTCCTAACCTGAACTTCCTCCATGTTTGAGATCCTGCTTGCTCAAGCTAGAAACCTGGAAGTCATCCTTGACTCCTTTTCCTCTCACTTTCAGACCCAATCAGGGACTAAACTCCATCATATTTCATCTCCCAAATATTTTTCAAATGAGCCCACTTCTCTCCCTCTCCATTGCCACTACCTGGACTATTGCATTTAATAACCTTGGATTACCGCAATGACCTTCTGACCAGTCTCCCTTCCTCCAGTAATACTGCCTTCCAATTCAAGCTAAGCAGAATAAATAATTCATTTTTTTCCCCCAGATACAGGGTCTTGCTGTGTTGCCAGGCTAGAGTGCAGTGGCACAATCAAAGCTCAGCCTTGAATTCCTTGGCTCAAGAGATCCTTCTACCACAGTCAACTGGGTAAAAAGACTATAGGCATGTGCCACTATGCCTGGCTAATTTTTGCTATTTTTTGTAGAGACAGAGTCTTGCTATGTTGCCCAGGATGGTCTTGAACTCCTGGCCTCAAGTGATCCTCCTATCTTGGCTTCCCAAAGTGCTAGGATTACAGACATGAGCCACCATGCCCAGAATGAACTAAATAAAGAACTCATTTTATCAGGAAAAAAACCAATTGTCCTGCTTACCTTAATCACACTCCCAATATGGTTCTGTTGAATTAAGAGATCTGTTAGCTCTGCAGTGTTCACAGGAGCCTTTAGAAAAAGCTAAAAGGAGGAAAAATTATTTTAAGATCAAAGCATGATTTCTAATAACTTCAAATCCCATATTCAAATACAAATAATGAAATTTCTGTGACTTGATTAAAAAGATGACCTAGAAAAGCAATCCTAAGAGGGAAAGAGAAGCCCAGGAGAGTCAAAGAAGCTAAAGATTAGGAAATTTCAGAGAAGCAGTGAGTGGTAATACAGAATTAATGGGGGAGGAGAGAGAAAAAAAAGGGAGAAAAGAGAGAGGATGAACATAAGGCCAAAGAATTTGGTGAAAAGGACAGTGGAGGCTATAAAGGTTAAAGAACCAAAGTCATACTATGAGTCAACGAATAAGGAGAAGTAGCAAGCATCAATTTTGTAGCACCAAACAACAGTTACATGACTATTAAGAATTGTGAATTAGAGAAAACAAAATAGTAGCTCAACTAATTAGCAAATGAAATGAAATAATTCTTCCTTCCAGGCAAGGTAGAGAGAATAGAAATGGAAATTCTAAAAAGATGAATTTGAGAGAGACTGTATTCAATGATCTGAATTTGTTTTTTGTTTTTTTGTTTTTTTGTTTTAGAGACAGAGGCTTGCTCTGTTTCCCAGACCAGAGCTCAGTGGTGCATTCATAGCTCACTGCAGGCTTGAGTTCTTAAACTCAAGTAGTCCTCCAGCCTCAGCCTCCTGAGTAGCTAGGACTAAAGATGTGTGGTACCACACTTGGCTAATTTTTTTGTTTTTTGTAGACCAGTTCTCACTATGTTGCCCAGGCTGGTCGCAAACTCCTGGGATCAAGCGATACTCTCACCTTGGCCTTCCAAAGCGCAGAGATTACAGACATGGGATTTTTCTTAGAAGAAGAGATTATGCATAATAAATAAAAGATAATACCTGCTGCAATAACTTCTTAATTCCATCGTAATCGTTATCTGATATGGAATAAGCTTCAAATTCGATATTCACTTCCTGTAAATAACACATAAAATAGTCGTTACCAGAAAAACTACAAACATCTAGGCTTTAAAATAGGCAAACATTGCCAAGATAGCCATCTGTAGAGAATACAAAGTACCATCACATCATTTCTTCATGTGACGCAAAAGCCTGAGAGAACAAAACACTCATTCGAATAACCTAGTTTAAATGTTGAGAAAGTCCAGTTCAAATAAACCAGTCACAGTAGCCACAAAGAAAAAATTATTTTCCTGATTGCAAAAAGGGTGGGCAAAAATAAAAATCATTTCAAAAGTCCCTGGAATTGCCTAGAGCTTGATTTAGCCCATGGATTTAAGGTTATACTTCATTAACCTAGCAAATATTTATTAAGTACCAATCCAGGTACCAAGCACTATGCCAGACACTCAAGATGAAAAGGTTATGCCGGGTGCGGTGGCTCATGCCTGTAAGTCTCAGCACTTTGGGAGGCCGAGATGGGCAGATCAAGAGATCAAGACCATCCTGGCCAACATGACAAAACCCCATTTCTACTACAAAAGTTAGCTGGGCATGGTGGCACACACCTGTAGTCCCAGCTACTCAGGATGCTGATGAGGCAGGAGAATCGCTTGAACCCAGGAGGCAGAGGCTGCAGTGAGCTGAGATTGTGCCACTGCACTCCAGCCTGGTGACAGAGCAAGACTCCGCCTCCAAAAGAAAAAAAAAAAGAAAAGGTTAGTAAGGCAGACACGAATGATCCTGCTCTCATGCAGCTTACAATTTAGGAAGGAATATAGACATTAAGGAAATATTTGTAGAAATGAAACAAAGGTATCACAGTGCCGTAACAACTTAAAAAATAAGTCAGGAAAGGAAAGGCTTCCTTAAAGAAGTGACACTTGAGCAAGGAACCAAGAAAAAGCAAAGAGGGTTGCTGTTACAGGGAACAGCACAAACTAAGGCCCTAAGGCAGAAGGAAATATGATGAGCAAAAGGGACTAGAAGAATGTGTAGCTGGGCTCCCTGATCTGTACCAAGACAACAGAATCTAAAGGAAGATGGCACTGAAATACCAAAAACAAAACCTAGTTGCTTTTAAACACTATCAAGATCCATCCATGAGGACCCTAAATCATACCTTCATAAATGATACAATGAACCTGGGGCTCTGATGAAATAATTTATTTTGATGCTCTTCAGGTTTTAATGGTTTGGAAATTTAGGTCTTAGCTAAAGGACATCACAGAGGAAACCAGACCCACTTTTACCTTGCCACACTGACTATGCATATATTTAAGGCTTCCTTAATTGTTATAACCTGCAACGCCCTGGAATTGCTCTAAGCAATTCTGAAGCAATTCCAGCTCCAATTTGAACTCCTTAAGTTCAGCTTTGCAGATCAAATGCTAACTCAGCCAGATTATGTGAGTAGCAGAACACAAGGGGTAGAGTGAGAGTGTTCCAAACAGGATCAAACTAAACCAAATAACAAACTGTCATTATTCAGGACTTAAATTCATTCCTTAGATCTAAATACATTCTGTAAATAATGCTCTTCTAGTGCTTTTTTCTTTGTCTAGACAGACATCTCAGACCTCTGTCCCAGACTATTATGGCACCACCAGGGAAATGGGCGGCAAATGGATCATCTGTCCAGCACCCCTTTCCCGGGTATGGGATCATCTCCACATGGTTTCGACAGGAACAGCCACGTTTGTAGAAAACAGCCCTGTCCCTCATTCCCAGGTGATTTAGTATTAAGACTGTGGTAGTCTGATAGACTTCCCATGTTAACACCAGAATCACTAATTTCTATAACCCACAGTCATAAAATAGCCAAAGCTCAAAGTGAAAAATGGTGAGATGGCAAGAGCCAAAATAAAGATTTGTAAAGGAAGATTGATCACACAGCTGGTGAATTTAGGGAACATTCACAGAAATAACGACGGTTAAAGAGGGGGGCATGAATTCTGCTTTGGACAAGTTAAGGCTGAGGTATCGATTTAGACATTCAATAGTCTGAAGGATCGCTCAGTCCGAATTATTTATCAAACAAATAATAAGTACCTACATTACCAGGCACTATGGTAGGACCTATTCTGAAGACAGAAACCCAGTCCTATGAGACTACGAGGCCAAAGATTTACCCACGACTTGGGTCGGCTGCCCCAGGAGCCAGAAAATACAGCCTAGCTGAGATGTGAAGGAGGAAGGGAAAAGCAGGATGAAGAAGAGCATCTACTGCAGAACCCGGCAGGAGCCTTCGAGAAACTGAGGGCCCCTGTGAGCGCAGCCCGCACAGTGCAGAGGCGGACGGCTGCTGCCCCGCGGGGACGAGGGCCGGCTCTGCGGGCCCGGGGCGGCCGACCGGAGGCTTCGGCCTGAGAGCTAAAGCGGGAGGGAAGCGCACACCTGCGGCGGCGGGCTTTTTCGGGGGGACGCGGGTTGGGAGAATAACCGGATCGGAGTAGGCCTCGGAAGAATAACTCCTATGGCTGCGGTGTGCTAAAGGCCGAGGAGGAACCTGAGAAACAACCTGTCTCCAGTGTCTGCTCACAGACCCTCCGGGACGGGAAAAGACACTGTTTTCACACAGCCTGGGCTTGCCGCCAAGTTTATAAACCAACCAGAGAAATGCGTGTCCTTCTCACCTCGTCCACGAACTCGTCGTCTTCATCCTCTTCTTCGTCGCTGTCGTCATCGTCTTCGTCCTCATCCTCGACTTCATCTTCCTCTTCGTCGTCGCGCTGGACCTGGGCGCCAGGCGGCTGCGGAGCCCCACTCCCCAAAGCCCTCCGTTTGGCCCTGGACGCCATGTTACCGCCCACACTGCGCCTGCGCAGCTTCCCCGAGCCTGACTTTACAGACCAGCCCATAGTAGCCAAGGGGGTAAGGGATTACGAAGAAGCTCGGCGCTGAGTGCACGCCCACCCCAGTGCCCTTGCTGTATTCCGCAGCCATGATCTCTTACAATCGGGTCCCGCTTGCAGTCCTAGCTTGCTTTTTTCTTCCTCCCTCCACCCTCTCTCACTCCTCCCAAGGCTTCCCCTCCCCTTCGCTTAGTGGTTCAACCCATGTAGCCTCAGGGCTCGCTCCGCTGCCTGGGTTTCGAGGCGCATGCGCGAGCACCCAGCTGTGCGCGCGGCCACCCCGCGACCCTGGGCTGCGGTGCCGGGTCCTGGGAGCGGGCCCTGTTCGCCGCGGCCGCCCTCGGGCCGCGTGGGGAGGGGACCGCCCACCTGTTGTCACTGCTCCTGCAGCCTCAGCAGCCTCTTCTCTGGGACTGCGCGACATCGCCCCCCGTCTGGGCGCCCGCGGGATCCCAGGCCCGGTGCTGGGCACGGTCCAGTCTTTTAGCCCATTAGGGCCTCGCCAGCCCCGCGAGGTAGGTGTCGCCGCCCGCGGTACCCGTGCAGGGCCCGGGCCCTGGGCGGTGTGTGACTCCGCGGAGCCAAGGAGCCAAGGCCCCAAGGCCGCTGGGGGCCTGGTCCTGCCCAGGCGGGAGGTCTGTGACAGCTAGAAGGCGCCTGCCCAGCCTACCCTCGCCAAACTCCTCGAGCGCGTTTCTTGACCTAAAAGTTTTTTTTAAGGCAGGGACTGCAGTTAAAAATGCTTCGCGGGGGCCGGGCGCGGTGGCTCACACCTGTCATCCCAGCACTTCGGGAGGTCGAGGCGGCTGGATCACCGGAGGTCAGGAGTTCGAGACCAGCCTGGCCAACATGGCGAAACCTCGTCTCTACTAAAAATACAAAAATTAGCTGGGCGTGGTGGCTCACACCTGTAATCCCCAGCACTTTGGGAGGCCGAGGTGGGTGGATCACTTGAAGTCAGGAGTTTGAGACCAGCCTGCCCAACGTGGTGAAACCTCGTCTCTACTAAAAATATAAAAAGTAGCCAGGTGTAGTAGCAGGCGCCTGTAGTCCCAGCTACTGATGAAGCTGCGGCAGGAGAATCGCTTGAACCCAGGAGACGGAGTTTGCAGTGAGGGGAGGTCGAGTCCCACACTCCACACTCCAGCCTGACGTCATCTCAAACAACAACAAAAAAACTTCGGGGCCAGTGGGGTAGTCTTAGGTTAAAGACCCGATCCAATTTTGAGAGAAGAGTGGAGTGGATGGTGGGCAGCTGCAGAGTGCATGAGTCTCCGCTGCCATCCCCTGTGGCAGGTAGGGATTCGGCCCAGTGCGGCCAGGTCTTTCCATTGCGAGAGAAGCGGGGGTTCTGGCTCTTTACGAGAAACACCCTGATTTTTTAAAAACCCATACCAAATAAAAAACCTCATCAACCTCAGGTTTATCCCACAGGCTACCGGTTTGCCTTCTGTTGTAAAAAATACGTGGAAAGAAAATCATTAGAGACGCCATCAGCTTTCTAGAAATAAGATCTACACCCTTGGCTCTCAGGCCTTCGAGCTACACCACCAGCCTTCCTGCTTACAGATCTCCACCTTGCAGACAGCAGATCATGGGACTTCTCAGCCTCCATAACTGCATGAGCCAATACCTTACAACAAATCCGTTTCTAGATATAAATATATGCCATTGGTTCTGTTTCTCTGAAGATCTCTGACTTATACACCCAATACAAAGGGGTCCGTGCTCCTTCTGTCTTGTTCCATCATCCCTGGGTTGTTCTCTGCAAGTATGAAGGGTCTGGCCACCCTCTCCACATTCCAGGGAGAAAGGGGGAGGGGAAGGGAGGGACCAGCCTTTCCTTCTAAGTACAGGACTCATAAGTTTTGCACGTCACTTCACCTTCCATCCTGTTCGCCAGAACCTAGTCACTTCATGACGTCTAACTACACATTTTTATTTTTGGCAACCATTGCCCAGTTAATGAAGGGTACCTGTTTCTATGGGGAGAAGGGATGAGCAAATGTTTAGGGGCAACTGGTAATCTATACCACACCTCCCAGTTCCAATAAGATGTACCAGCTATGAATCTTAAATATTCTTTCATAAGACTTACTGCCTTATGAGTATGTTTTTTACTGATTTTTAAAGTATCTATTTACCTTCCTGTAAATATAATGATAATGCCTAGTGCCTAGTACAGTTACTGTTCTAGAAAGATGTGATTTACTGATAGGATTTAACTAGACAAACCAAAAAAAGTTCAGGTGGGATTCAAAGAAGAAACACTTCTTTTCAGCCTGGTCCCAACCATTTCAAACTAGGCTGTAGATAGATGGTTTCACCTAGAATTATATCAGCAAATCCTGATAACTCTGCAAAATGACGGCTTGATCCAGTCACTTCTTGACCTGGCATTTGCTAAAGCTGGCACCCCTACCACAACTTTGATTCAGTCATTGATGACTTTCAACTAATCTGCTGTGACCCATGGGGTCCCTGTCCTTCCTTGCCCGAAAAGTCGGTGGTATTTCTAAAGTATAGATCCCATCACTGTCAATCCTATCCTTAACTTTTTAGTGGGGTCCCTTTTCTCATGAAATCCATAGCTTACCTTGTCCATTACACTTGAGCCACACTTACCCTTCTCTCCTGGGGATACCCAGGCCCCTTTCTGACCCTTGAACATTTTCTCCTCACTGCTGTTGTCATTCAGATCACAAGTGTCAAAATGACTCAAATGTCAGCTCCACAGAGGTCTCCCTGGACATGGGACTGGTTATCAGCACCCCAGTCACTGTGCCAGATCACCTCATAGCACTTACTAGTTCTGAAGTTATTACACACAGCCCCAATAAATAATGCAGACCTAATTTCCTGAGGAGGATTCCAAGCTTGGGATTTGGCATCACAGCCTGAGAACTATATAGAAACACTTGTGAGAGGGTTGGCTTCTGGTATTTGAAAGCATTACGGAAATATTCTTTGAAAATGTAGGGATTTGTATCTCAGAGGATAGATCCATGGCGGGAACACAGTGGGGGCTGAGTAGAGCTCTGTGGCCACAGGATTGCCTGCTGCCAAGCATTATGCTTCTGCTTTTGAAACCCCACACTAATTGCTTCCTTTGTGTGCTACAGAAGGATGTATACCTTAGCTGAAAATGCCAAGTTTTACCTGCTTTGGACTGATTGAATCAGGCCTACCTAGGTTATCTAGGATAATCTCCCTTACTTAAAGCCAGTTGATGACTTTATCTTATCTTCAGAATACCTTCACAGCAACACCTAGAGTAGTGTTTGGAAAAACAGGGCTGTAGCCTAGTCAAGGTAACACAAAAGTTATCATTGTGGAAGGGTAGGCTCCTAATTTCTGTGTGAGATATATTTTGAGTAACTTCGGAAAGTGGTAGGAACCATACTGCCCATTCCCCCAGACTCCCAATCCCTCTAGCTAAGACCTTGATAGCCACAATATTAGAACTTGATTTCATAAGTATTATATTTGTTCACCAGGTTTGGTGCTTAGGTACAAAACAGTTAATTTTGAGCCAATTTTCCCAAACTGTTCCATAAATATATATTCAGTAGTAATTTATAAGTAATGGCACCCAGAATTGGTACATTTCTTTTTTTTTTTTTTTTTTTTTTTTTTTTGAGAGGGAGTCTCACTTTGTCACCCAGGCTGGAGTGCAATGGCTCGATCTAGGCTCACTGCAGCCTCCGCCTCCTGAGTTCAAGTGATTCTCCTGCCTCAGCCTCCGAGTAGCTGAGACTACAGGCGTGTGCCACCACGCCTGGCTAATTTTTTTTTTTTAGTAGAGATGGGGTTTCACTGTGTTAGCCAGTATGGTCTCAATCTCCTGACCTCGAGGTGATCTGCCCACCTCAGCCTCCCAAAGTGCTGGGATTAGAAGCGTGAGCCACCACACCTGGCGCATTTCTGTTTCAAACAATGTAGTCTGTTGATTCTTAGCAACCACTGCATAATATTTATTAAGTAACTAACTGGTGGGTCTAATGCCATTTATGGAATGATAATCTGCCTCTCAAGCAGATTTATTCTGCAGTTTGTCAGTGGCATTTATTGGTTTGTTTGTGTGTTTAGAGATAGGGTCTCACTCTCTCACCCAGGCTGGACTGCAGTGGTGGGATCATGGCTCACTGCAACCTCCTCCTCCCAGGCTTAAGTGATCCTCTCAAGGAGCTGGAACTATGGGCACATGCCACTGGGCCTGGCTGATTTTTTAATTTTTTTGTAGAGATGGGGTCTCACCATAGTGCCCAGGCTGGGCTCAAACAATCTACCCACCTCAGCCTTCCAAAGTGCTGGAATTACAGGCATGAGCTACTGTACTTGGCCAGCCCTTGGGATGATTATAATGTGCCTTCCCCTCACCCTAATACAAGAGGAATATAGTTTTCATTGTAAAAAAAAATTGTGTAATACTGAAAGAGGTAAAGCAGAAAATAATCATTCTAGTTTACGACTTAGAAATAATTACTATTAATGTTTTGGTGTATATCCTTTCGTATATCTATGAAAAATCTAAAATCATACTATTTATGTAATTCTGAGTCTTGCTTTTTTCTTAACATTATTTTGTGATTAAATAATTCATGTAATTGTTTGTGAATATTTTAATGATTTCACAGCTCTGTACCATGATTTCTTTAACCACTCTCTCCCTGTTGCATCTTTACATTGTTTCCATTTATTTGTAATTCTAAAGAATTCTAGTGTGAGCATCTTAATGTTAATCTTTGGACACCTTTATGAGTATTGCTGTAGTATTCTTAGAAGTGAAATTACAGGAAGAAAAAGGATGAAGTATATAAGGCTTTGATGTTAACAAATTGTTTTCCAGGTTATCAGACTATCTTACAATACTTGACAATGTTTAGAAAACATTTAATAAGTAGAATAGTCAATATAATTATTTCCTAAAGTGATTATGAGCTACTTAGTATATTTATCTTGAAATGGAAAAGT